GTAGTGCCAAAATAAAATGCAGTGCTAGTATAAATGTTGTCTTTAATAAATGTCACAATGAATGCAGTTGTGAATAAATGCTGAAAAGAAGGCCAGAAGGATGCAGTCATGAATTAATGCCAGAATGTACTGACAAATTAGGTGGTGGGATGAATGCAGTCACAAACAAATGTCAAATGAATGAAGTCACAAAATAGGTGTCAGCATGAAGGCAGATACAAATCGGTGTTAAATGAATGCAGTAACATACAGGTGTCAAAATATACGCAGTAATACATGAGAAACAGAATGTATGTAGTCATTGTACCTCTGTATGGTATAGCATATCTTCATAAACTAATAGTGACATAGGTGTACAAGGAATGGAGTGTAGGATCTGTCAGAAGGCTTATATTATATAGTGAGTAGAATGCACAACCAAAGGAACCATAGCAGTGTTTCTAGGGAAGGAGGTAGGAAACTATTACAATGACATAACAAAAAAATGTTTTGAGGATGAGGGTTCACATCTAAAAACAAAAAAATAGAATAATATTTTAAGACTGTATACTTGAAGAAGGCTATTTTGAAAATACTTCACTTCACAATTACTAATAAATGACAAAGGAAGAACTACATATCAAAGCCCTTCACTACATGGACACCACTTTCAATAGTTTATCTGGCTAAAGCCAGAAAATTTTATTCAACTCAGAGGGAAGTCCATACACAAGGGGTTAAGGTGAATAAGGAGATGGAGGAATATGTTATTTAAGTTCATTTACAAGAAATGCAGCACTTAAAAGTGTAATAGCCTTTAATAGGATATAAGGACAAGTGTGCCTTGAAACAATGCCATGATAATCAACTAATAGGAAATACAACTATGTAGATACAAAACTTCTCAAAATCAGTGCAAAATGCATAATTCAACTTTTCCTTGTTCAAAACGTCATTTTCACAACATATCGGATAGGAAAAACAAATACAGGCCCCCCCCCCCCAATGTTTGCAGATTTTTTTTCGCGGTTCTCTATTATTCGTGGATGACACCCTGGATGTACCCAAGAATGTCTGTGGGTAGTTTTAAAGTTGCCGGCATTTTCATGGCTGGGACAGGGGCCATTCATTCTAGAGACAGTAATTTATTTTACCTGTATTGTATATATGTGTGTGTGTGTGTGTGTAGACACACACACACACACAACACACATACAACTAAATAATAATGGGAAAATACTCTCACAAATAATCAGAAACAAATTTATTAAAAATGTGATGGTCTACCCTCAAGTCTGTGCTATATTAATAAAGTAATAATTATCCTAAGGGCAACACATAAAGGGAATATACACTTCTTTGTACACAAGTAAAAATGTACCCCCCCCCCCCACCGGTCAGCAAATGTTATTCGCAGATTTGGCGATTCATAGCCATTTTGAGAACCTAACCCCTGCGAATTTGGGGGCCCCCTGTAATAACACAGGACTCAATGCTAACCATTCCCTCAACCCTAATGCCCCAGAGCACTGAGAGAAAAGTGAAGGCAAAAAAATAAGGTGTACAGCCCCACTGCCCGAGAAGCAAACAAATTTTACTTGAGAAATAATGAAGACTTAACATCACACATCTTAAATATTGTTTAACTTTGGCTTTAAAGAAAAATTTATTGAATAATATATAAATAAATAAATAAATAAATAACAAAAATAAAGTACGAATGAACAATTATAGAAGATAAATGCTGAAGAATCCCAAACATTAACACTTGGGCAAGTACTGTACAAAATATATTCAGAATAGCGATAACTTTATACTCACTTGTCGCCTATAGGAGTACAGTATAGTAGTTTCAAAAGTTAGCTTTGAACCCTATAAAACTTTTTTACTATGAGCCAGTACCAAAAAATTATACTTGTAAGTCTTATGTTACATGAGAAGCAAAATTTCTACAAAAGCAATCATAATAATCAACTGGCAAGCAGTTATTTTTGTTCAATAACATCATTGTAATTTAATGCATATTTCAGTTTTCCAACATGAACAATTGTATATAATGTTTTGAACATCATGCATAAAATTAGATAATAAAGCAGCTCTTTTACTTAAACAGCAGTAGCATCAAATGACAGGTGTTGGATCTTAGAAAACAGGTGCTGAATCTTAGGTAACAAGCAATAAATATTATGACAAATGACTGATCTTAAACATGAAGCACAACATTATTGCACTCAAGGAATCAAAACTGAAATATAACACCAGTCAGTGCTTGACTATCAAATCATGCTACAGCCAATGACAACCACAAGTCTCCCCACAAGCTTATATACTCACGCACGCGCGTACCTTGAGTAACAATTACACGTAATATATTTACATATTTCTTATAAGGCAATTAATGGGCCCAAATATTAACATTACTGGTACTACTACTTCCTTGAAACTTTACAGAAAAGGGCAGAATAGATACAGGCATTACTTCCTCACACTCACTCCAACCCAGGAGCACACAAAGAAATAACCCGTACGCACATGCACCCACACATTACTATCCACTTCACATCCACATCATGTATGCATAAATTTTACATAAAAACTAACCGTGAAATGTTACAAATATATCATATACGAAATATTCTAAAGCCCATACAGATAAACATGCAATCATCATCATAATTAACGTACCGTATATCTGTAAAAAAAATTATTAGCTATGCTAGAATACAAAAACACACATCATAATAATGAAAATTTTCTACAAATTAATGTGTGCAAGATAATGAATCATATATGAAGATAATAACAATTATACAGTAGAATAAAGATACATAAAAAAGATTCATTGTTGCATGTAAAATTTTTAAAGTACTGTACAATGAAAATGTGTTAGCCTATTAAGTACTCCACAAGTACTCCTCAACATCATCATCATCCATATTATTATTATTATTCACAAAAAATGGGTTTGGGACACAGCTGGTAAGTAAAGCAAATAATCATTAACCTATAAATAAAACAAATTATCATTAATATATATACTGTATATATATCAGGGCTTTCAAAATCTTTTACCTTAAAAAGTACTTCAAGAAATGAGTAGTATTCAAGCATTTCTATGGGACTGGAGGACACTGAAGCCCTCTACATGACTAAATGTAACAGCTTTATCTAGTACCAGTGACAAACAAAACTACCAAATATTACTTGATTTTTAAAGCCCCAATTGTGCATAATCACACTTGTTTGTTTGTACTCAAGTCAAACGTTTTTCAATCAAAATACTGTACCAAAAATTAATTATTCTTCACAAAATTGAAAAGAATAGGGCATTAGCTTTAAAGCAATAATCAGGATGAAGCAGTCTGAAAAATATTTTAGTATACTGCAATAAAATCCTCTAATATCAAATGGGCTTCATAATTCTACAGATAATTTTTCTAATATTGTACAGTCTCACCCAAAGGTTTGTTAACTCTCCCAGTCAGCTATTGCTGCACTGCCTGCTTCAGATATCTGAACTTGAGTCTGTTACTTCGAACCTTTAGACTCATTCGTATTGGTTTCATGTTCTGGTTGGTAGCGAGACATTTTCAAACATCTGAAGCAGGCAGTGCAACAATATCTGGCTGGGAGAGTTAATGAGGTTTTGGACGAGACTGTACAATCTACCCCAAAACTTTTTTTTAAATTTGTGATTAAAGAGAAATAATACTTACCTACATCAAATAATTTAACAGCCAATTACACATCACCCACCTACTTTTGCATCCATAAACTTATGCCACTCCCATCATTCTCTACCATCTGTCAACTATCCCCACTTCTTATATAAGTGATGAAAATTTGTACCTAAAAATATGACCCTGAATAATGCATTATCAAAATTTCAGCCAAGGAAACATTTACTCATACCTGACACTGTTAAATTATAAGGCACTAACTTCTTTATCCACCTATATTTTATAATCCTTTTCCTTCCATTCAAGCAGTATGCATTTTCCCTAATACAACTGAAGGTCTGGCAATTGGACAAACCCTTCTCACCTAAAGGTTTTGGAACTATTGTGGCTGGCAATGTTGCACTGTGTTAATATCAACTTTCACTGGCTCTAGCTACTAGTGGGGGAGGGGGGACAATTACTGCTTCTGACTGCACATCACAATAATAAACACACATAAAAACACTGGAGGTCAAATAGCAAATCTGAAAATTAGCGCAACAATCAATTTGTACACAAGAACATAACAATATTTTATGACAGAAATAAAGATTACAACAGGCTACACTATATAGTTTTTAAAATGATTAAGTATCATCTTCTTCATCATCATCACCACCACTGTTTTATGGCAAATTTCCATGACTGAATGAGTTAGCCAGTTCTCCATGCTGCACTGTCACTTGCAGCTTCTCCCTTAAAGTTCCTAATTCTGAGGTGATTTCTTTTAACCTCTCCCTAGGTCTCCTATCCTCCACATGAAGACTCATGCATCACCTGACCCAATTAGTCTCCTCCATCTCTAAACCAGCCCAAACCATGTCAACCAGCCTCTATACAAAACCTCACCAACTCTCAAAATCCAGCCACCCTCCTACTTCTGAACAGGGGTTCCTATATCTCAGCATCGCATTACACAACCATTTCACCAATGGGAGAACTAAAAGTAAAGAGTGAGGAAAATCCACGATGGTGTTCTAAAGGCAAATTTGAACCACCCTCATTAAATTCTTTCACACTAATCTACATTGCACATGGACTTGAGCTAAAAGTCACTCTGTTGTAGAGAAGAAAAAGTCATATAAAATACAAAACTTCATTAACCTACATCACAGTCATCCATTCTTTAGTTCCCTCCCCTCTAAGACATTAGTATATTGTCATTTCTCAATCTTGCCCAGCACAGTACACTGCTCCACAAAATTAGCACTCTATATATCATTGACCTCTAACTCCCATCTTTAAGTTAAATATTCAAAAAATTAAGAAAATATCTAAAAAAGCTGTACAATGATAACTTACTTCACAGTTTGTGTTTTTCCATAAGTATTCATAGTAATAGTGACAAAGCAGTAACCATCCGTCTCACACACTCCAGAATCACAATCCGAACATACACACTTCAGCAATCTGTCTTCAGGTGGTGTTGGAAGAGCTTGCACAATGCCTGAAAGAAAGAATCCCATTTACATTCTTTCACAACTGTTGTAAATGAACATTGTGTATACTAATAGACATAGAATTTGTTAAGTACAATTCATTTTGAGGTTGAAAAAACAATGATGAATTCCTGTGTATGAACAGAATCTAAAATGACACTTTAAAGCACTCAACTTTATATGCACACACACAAGGTTCACTGGTGTATAAAACCCAATTTTTTGGCCATTACCTATACAATGCAATGAATAAAGCAACTGGTGCCACAAATATGAATAAAAAAAGTCTTACCAAACAGCTCAACAAATTTTCTTTAAACACTAAAAATGTGGCACTTAAATTATGTGGACAATTTAGGCAGTTAACAATAAACTCAATTCGGACTATAAAAATGATTTGCATTACTTTAATCATGTACCAGATTGTGTAAAGGGCTGCAACCTCAAGAAAAACAAAACAAATGACAGCCAAGGAAGCTGAGAGGGATGCACCATATTATTATTAACAATAATTGTACTTAGGTTAACTATATCGAACACCTCCTTATTACCAGAAACACCCCTTTTCGCACATGGAGCTACTTGTGACCTTCTAGCATGAAAGAGCCGTACTGTATTTTTTTTCCGGGCAGATTTCTCGGAAACCCATTCATTTTTTTAAACTAACTACAATCTATGTAAAATTGGTTGATCTTTCATATAAAACCATAAAAAACAAATGCAAGACTATTTTTGAAGACGTAAAATCGTGAACCTATTTCAAGAACAACAAAAAATAGAGTAAGCACATCATATAAACCAGACTTTTTATGCTTCAGATTGATGAAATCAGAAATTGAATGAGTACTGGTACAGGTATGTGCAATGAAAGACAAAAGTCGTATTGTAAAATTTGGTGAAAACATATCCAGAAGGACTAAACTTTTGGTGAGCTCTGCCTTGTGGTAGGGGACTCTCATAATGTTTCACGAGTTATATTTAATCAACAAACAAAACCACGACAAGACTTTTGTCTTTGTACACATTACTAAGACTAAATAAAGAAAATTTTCCAAAATTGTTTGCACTCTTTTTAGTTTCTACCCTTAATTTTATATTTACCTCCCATTTTTCCATTGGTTAACATAAGGTCTATACAATTACCTCAATAAAATTTGATTACCACAAGAAAGTAGGCTTCAAGGAATGATGACGCACCAAAATTTCATGTGTCAATCGGAATTCCTTCATTTATGAGGATTTTTCTTTTTTTGAATGACATATTAATGAGTAGACGCTAACTGGATGACACTAAATATTGATGATTAGTCTGTGTTGTGGTGTGCGAGAGTTATGGCTTAAAAACTCTTCACCTTTGTACTTTTTTCCTCCTTTCTTACAAGCCCTTTCCTATTTTGGTGGAGGGTAGCAAGACTCAAGCAGAACAAAGGCTTCCCCTGTCAGTCTAACATCAGATTCTTTTAGCATTTCAATTATAACAAAAACTATATTTCCCTTCATACATATTTAAGAAATTACCCCCAAAAATGCCTGTGATGAAAAGAGAGTAAAGAGGCATAACATTACCAGTCATGTGTTCAGATACAGCTGCTTGTGTTGTGGACGACTGGGCATCACTGCTCGACTCCAGGACTCCAACTCCACCATCTTGGAAAGCTATTAAATCAAGAATTAGAATTTGTTGTATATTTTTTTTTACTAAATTCATATATAAAACTGCAAAACATACAATATTTTTAAAAAGCCATAGACATAAAACTTTAATGCATAAACCTTAAACACTTCAATAAGCATCCGATCTCCTGAAGATGTACTATAACTGAAACTTCTTAAGGGTAGTGTGACAATACTCCAGCAATTAAACTTGTGTCACAAATAGGATAAATTACCTAACAGTCATTGCATCACTTTTCACTACCCAGACCTACAATGAAATTAATAGCTGGTTGTATACAGTACATACATAAATATTATTAGTGTTAGCATAATTTCACATGCACTAAAGTGAGTTCCCAGCTGAGAAGAGATTCCCCGCCCCGTCCTCAAGAGTTACAGCTGATTGGCTGTTGCAAATCTGTCCAATTTCATCCAGAAGCAATGATGTATTTCTAAATGAGTTTATTCATAATTGTTGGGATGACAGTTTCTGACAAGAAAGATATTTAGCTAAATTATATAACGATGCATACATTCATTATTTCAAACTTGAGCACGTAGGAAGTTTATCAGTAATCTTATACATGAATAATTCCCACCCGCCTCCCATTCTCTCAAAGTTCATCCTTCTCGCTCGCACCACGCATGCCCAGTAATAGTTGCCACATCCCCAAGCATTGTTTTGAAAGTATTCCAAGGATTTCTTTTTATTACGTTGTGACTTTGGTGCCACTGGTGGAATTTTTTGTATCCAAGAGTTCCAAAGCAGTAGTGTAGTGGCTAAAAGGGAGCGTAGTGGCTATGGGAAGGACGTGAAATTAAAAGTATTGTAATCGTCAGGAAGAAGAATGAGGAACATGTGTCTGACATCTCAAGCACCATGCACATGCCTGAAATGACCATACTTAAGATATAGAAACGAGGGCTTCAACAATACTGAGACATTCAGAGGTGAAATTAACACAGGAAAAGAGTAATATGGTGGAAAGTAGGGAGAGACAGTAGACAATCCAACTAGCCCTGCCTTTCTCATCCTCACACTAATCCTCCTCTCCCAACCCTCACCTCCATCCATTCAATTGAGCCCAACATCTCTACTTTTAAAACATTTAATAACATATCTAAATGAATCACTTTTACTGAGGGTGCAAGTGTGTGCACAGTCAGCCAGCCGCATGGTTAGGTGGCCTGCACTGCATCAACACATTGACCCCAAATAAATTTAAGTAGGGTACCTTTAAATATGTTATAAAGTAAAATAATTTCATATAATAATGTGTAATCAAATGTTTAACAAATGTTTCTAAATGATAAAAATATCAAGTTAAACTTTTTGAGGTAATTTTCAATGTGATGGTCCTAATTAGACCCAATTCCTCTTAATTCTTGTGGGAATTGATTTCCTTTATCCATAGTATCACTATCCGAGTCTTTTTTCTTGTCCCTATTAAACTCGGGTAACGAGGACCCCGTACTTCATCACCAAGTATGATTTGTAAAAATGTTGCATTGAAAAGCTGACAAATCAGATTTATTAAACTACTGTACTAGTAGGTGATTGTTTTTACAGAAAACCAACTTTGCTTTTCTAACTTTCAGAAATTACTTTTATGTGAAGGGGCAGGGCGCAATGGAAAATTTGCCGAGTTGAGGAGCACAGTTTTCAAAGGTTTGGAAAACACTACATTAAAAGACAATGTTTCAGTGAAGTTCCTATGAAACAATATCCCCAAATAAGTGCAGCTCATACAATCCCAATTTCATTTTTTTTTAATTTCTAACATTTACATTCAGTAATCATTCTGCAAACAACAGCACATGTAATGGGTGTGAAAACCAAAAAATTTTAATGTGTTTTTTTCATGCTGAACACAGCTTCTAAGACAGGACTTAGAAGCAGAGAGAAAATTTGGCATTAATAACAAAACTAAAAGACTCCAACCTAACCTAATTTGGTCACTGTCCTAACCTACTGCATAATTATTCTACAACCACAAGCAGACAGTTTAGGCTTATAAGTTAGTGATTACAGAATATTGGTAGAAAAGAAATCAAATTGTAACATGGAAAAGAAAAATTAAAACAAGATTTTCCAAGTCAACCTCAAAAACTGAGCTAGAATACCATTGCCCTAACAAGAAATAAAGTGGTGATATGCAGAGTGGCCAATTAATAACTTTACCTCATCTTCCTACCACACACCATCTTCACAAGAAGAGATGGTATTATTTTATTTTAGGACATAGCGCGCCCGAAAGTTAATAATTATTGAAACATTTAGATCTCGCTATTCTGCGCATTTTGAACCCCATACATACATGGCGGAAATGGATAATAGCGACACAATTGAATTTAATTGATTTTAAGTAGTTTTCAGTCTTCGTCTCTGAGGAGATGTTATCTGCGCATCACGCATGTGCAAAGTTGACTGACATCAACCAGTCGTGACCATTGAGGTATTGATATCATCATCCGAATTTTTTTCGACCAATCACATTTGATTTTTTTTCAAAGGAAGCAGCCTGGGCATGAATTTAATTTCATTGACCAGTTTCACAGTGGCCGTGGTGGAGGTTGGTCGTCGTTTGTGCTCCTACAATTATTTTAAGTTTATTGCCAAGATTTACGAGAAAGACGATCGTGCTATCCAATTCTTACGTCTCCCTGGTCCTTCCACTTCTAAGGTACTGTACTTTCGGACATAACGCGCCCCAGAGTTTTTAACTACTGAAACATTTAGGTTAGTTTAAGTTAGGCCTACCAGGGGCAGAGCCCTCGGCTAGGGGTCAGGTTAGGCCTACCATGGGTCTGGGGGTTAAGTTAGTTAGGTGAGGTTTTGTTAGGTCAGATGACTCGTTTTCTCCCCCCCCAAAAACCCCTATTTCCCAAGCTCTCCCCCATTGTTGTGGAGGGGGGGTAAAAACTATCAATATCCGCCAAAAATTATGGTCAGACTCGTTTAAAACACATCACAATATACTGGGAAAAACATACTGGTCAACCCCTAGTGACTCGTGTCTTAAAGTAAAAATTTACCGTAAAGATCTTACCATTCAAGAACTAATGACTTAACTCCTATTGTATCTAACATAAACCAAGCCAAATGATCCATGGTTTAACACTGAATATATGACATAGTCGTTTAATTAAGAGTACACCTGCCCAACCCTTCTAACTTGTTCTTAAACTGACAACCCAACTCTAGTCAATGGCAGTTTCTCTATTTAATTTCTATCATATAAACCAAATCGAAAGACTCATAAAAGACTGTTAACATTTATACACATTTAATATTTAATAAATGTTAAGCTGGGGGGGGGTCATTTAACAACTATTAATGTAACACAAATACGAGGACACCAATACATTTATAACACCTACCAGTACCAAGAAGCCAGTACCAACCCAATAACATCACTATGAGAGTGTGTTAACTCCTGGAGATAGAATAATTAACACTAAAGACAACTGGTGACCCGTGTTGGCAGCTCCCTCCATCACCATATATCCTTCCCTCACATGACACACCTTATACCAACGCCTAAATCTCTATACTAACCGTTAACTAAAGTCGCACTGCATAAGACGATCAGCAGATTCCGGAGTTGTTCCATTTCGGTCTCGTGAAGAAACTCCCGGTTAAGTTTATAAACTACATTTCCTTCTCTTTCTGCAAATCCTGTACTTTGTTATTTGGTACTATAGACACTTGGTTTCATAGACTAAGTTTGTTCTATCGCAATAAGGATAGTATTGGATTTTGATAAATAAATATACTTAGAGGATTGAAACTACTTCTAGCGCCCCAGATCCTTCTTGGTAGCAGAGAGTTCAGTCGTCTATTATTCAGACAGGCAAGAGCCGCATAACGCCCGACTAGACAGTACCCTTCCGCATGTTGTCTTTAAAACCAGGCCTACCAACACTTCATCTTTACTGTGACTGCACATATATGAGATATAGTCATTATAAGAATATAAATATCAAATTTACATTGATTAATATGATTACATTCGGTATATCATACAGATGCGCAATATGAATATTAAGCCCATAATTTTAAATGAAATAGTTCGAAAATACACCTGCGCTATTATTTGTTGCAACAGGGTAATAATCATTATTCAAAGGCGTAAAATTAAAAAATCATCGTTCTTAATTAAACTGAGGCTCAAGTCGTTCATAAACTATATATTTATTAGTGCTTTGGGACGCGTAGTAATACACTGACTCCATGGCGGTCTTCTTGACTGTCTCTCAACCTTTGCTTTCAATCACAATTTTAATTTAGTGACGATATAGACACTTATATTTGTTTTACATCTTGCCAGAATAAATTAATGGTGATGTGTGTGTTAAAAAAATCAGATTTGACGATTATTCGCTAGACAGTTATTATCTCGAAAGGAACAGTCTTGAGTCAAGTAAGCTGTAGACAAAGCTTACTTAGCAGTATTTAAGTGCAAGCAGCAAGCTTCTCATGAAGTATTCAACATGGACTAATTTAATAGGTTTTCCTATAGAATTACCCGAGGATAAGAATACAATAATAATCAAATATATCTAGTTACAGCAAAAACCAATGATAAATATAATTACTTAAAATAGGACCCACTTTCGCGCTTCATCAATGATAACCAAACGACTTCTATAATTGCACAGATCGAAGCCTGCCAGCTTTATTAAATTGCGCAAAAGATTAAACTAATTACATATTTCGATTTTCCGTTTCCTTTATATGGGAATTTTACTTTATTACTTTAATAAATATATTATCAGAGACCCCCCTCCCCTGGATCAATCATTGGGCTGTTGGTAGAAGTGGGACAGCAACGTCTGTACATAGTGAAAAATTCCTCTTTATTATCCATACGTATTACTATAATAGTAGAGTAGATTCTTAAACAAAATCTTGTTATGTGGTTTATACAGCGAATGTTAGTAAGGTGTACAACAAGGGGAGCAGATGGAATCGGCCAAACGTCCCAATACAATATACCTGACATTGAGTTAGCAAACAATTTCAAAGGCAATAAAATCACAACAGAATATGAATACTTAAATGAAAAACTTGACCATATAGAATATGTATAGAGGAAAATTGAAAACTCAAATTTAACATCTTAGACACCAAAGGAGTAAGGCGACCGAGTGAATAAAATGCTCGCCTCTCATCCCTAAAGAACGTTAGTTGTTGAAACAGAGAAATATTGTAAAACAACAACCAGAATAAGAGACAGACTATAGTTCACGGAGACGCACACCTGTCATAATCTAATCGATAGACCTGAGTATGCAAGAGATAAATGAAGAGGTGACCACTCATATGGCATCACGAAAATTGTGACCAAGTCCCAGGTTGCTGATCTGACTTTCTGCCTCATTTACACACAATTGCAGGTCTCAATTGTTTCTCTTACACAACATGCATATATCGTTTCTCACAATTGATCCGTTTTTCATTTTGGTATTCCTTTATCGTTGTTTATTATTATTATTATTATCATTACTTCTTCGCCCCCCAGGCCCCGATGTTGGCCAGTGACCTGTGTCCGGGAGGGCTAATCCCCGTAAAAAAATAAAAAATAAAATAAAGCTTGGGAGGTAAATGATAAGGTAATTCTTATGACAAAAATGAAAACTGAAGAAAAGCAATGGAGTGTATAATAAATTAACAACAACAATAATATCGTGTTGATGGAATGAGATTTTGTGTAAACAGCCGGTGACATAATGATTCATCTCTGTTTTGTTGTTGACGTTGTTCAAAGGATTACTTGTTGTTTATATTACTTTGTACTGTTGTAAGTCGTTTTATCGTCATTGTTGTTTTGTCGTTTATTGCTCAGTTGATGGTTGTATTGTTGTTGAACTCTTGCTTATTGTTTAGATTTTTGTTGTTTATTGTTTCAATGATTTAAATAATATTGTTTTGATCATTGTTTTGTTAATGTTTATATTACTGTTGTCTTGTTTATTGTTTTATTTGTTCTTAAATTGTTTTTGTTGTTGTACAATATTTTGTTGATGTTCATTGTTTGTTGGTGGTTGTACTGTACTGTCTATTTTGAACTCTAGCCTCGTTTTTAAAGCGAATCAGCCAATCAGATACTTTAAGTCGCCAGCTAGCATCTACCAGTTCTACCTGTCGTGTGTGAATTGACAACAGGGAACTAGTTTATCGTAACCTAAGCCTTCAACAGGAGTGCGCCAGTCGAGTGGTTACAGAGCGCTTGCCTCCTGTCCCACGTCCACCCAGCTGTAAATGGGTACCTAACTATAAAAATTGGGAAATGATGGTGGTTGAGTGTAGTGCTGGTCACGTTGCCTCCTCGTGTATCGAAGGCTTAGTGTGCAGTGTGCTGTATCCACATTGTCTGTAACGGGCAATCATGCCAATGGGTCCCACTTTAAGTTTGTTAAGCCTCCGGTTTCCTGCTCGTTATCCCTCACTTCCCTTGATGGCAGAATAACAATCATAATTATTAATATTTAATAAATTTTTCCACTCAATACCTGCAATAATTGAAAGTAACTAATTTTAGACTAACTCACATCAGTTAACGATACCTATAACTCATACATTACAGCTGCTTCCTTGCCCCTGTTACGTCTAAACTTAGCTAAACTTCTAAATACGCATGAAAGACCTGCACGATGTCAGCAGCTTCACTGTATGTCAATACGATCGCTTAAGTGTTCATAAATACAACAGTCTGGAGGAATTTACATCATGTAGTGCTACTCACGGCCTCACTCCCTTAAATTAACTTTAAATAGACTCTTGGAGCAGAAGACACTTTATTCTCGGCCTTCAGACTCACGACACAAGGGCCATGTTCTCGTGGCACCAGCGGCGCCAGGCAGCACCCCGTCATACCGGATGCTACAGTCATATTTAATGTTGACACACGGGACCGCTGGACGGGAAGTGGGTTTTTTTTTACCCAGCACGAACAAAACATCCCAAATATTATCCTACCGAACGAGCTAGACTACTTAATGTAGTCCACAACTTGCTACTTATAGGATTGGATACTTGAGGCTGGATATAGAAATTCCTGACAATATGCCAAATTGTAACTAAGAACTAATTTGGTATTTATCTTAGAGTAAAAAATAAGCAAAGAGTAAACACGGCACAAGTTTTCCGGGCACGCGACGCCATGCCAAGAACGTCACTACTGTACGTCGTAGATTAGTTAGTTCATGTCTTTGCCTAGTTATGTCTTAATACAGTTTACTTATAAATCTACCTAAAGTTTTTAAACAAGTTATGCGGTAGCAGTAATAGCTACGTAGTTACGTTGGTATCCCATACCCGTGGCTAATTAATTCCTAGCAATTTTGTATTTATATTTCTATTTTATTTTAATTCATCATGATCACCACTTGCCAGCTCACTAGCCGGTAGGGCGGTCGGTCTGTTATCTGTTATGGCCTCCAATGTGATGTTTGATAGTCGCACTGGATAACATCAGATCCGGAGATCAAACCCGGGTCGTAGTACTGACAGACAAGCGTGCTAAAAGTCTTCACTACTTTATATCCAATTTTCTACTGGCTGTTGACGAGTTCAGTTCGAATGGCGACTGTTATTTAAAGCGTAAGAGATTATTAAAGGGTAGATGTTTGCGTGGTTGCTGAGCAAGGGTTAGTTTGGCTCACTGGACACAACTGGCAGCAGAGACAGCGCTGCCATGTAACATGTTGAAGGAAACACTTTGCTTACAACCTGTGACCAGCATGGGTGTCAGGGTTGAGTACTGCATTTTTTTTTTATCTCAGCTAACTCTGGCGTAAAATGACGTCTGTTAACTATTAATATGTAAGGCTTAGTGCGACCGAGTTGTAGCGTTCATGATTAACGTAAATGTACTGTACTGTAATGACGAACTGAGGCTCTTGAAATTTCAGTTGTACTGAAATTAAACGTAAACGAATGAATGTAAAATTTAATCTAGAGTTATTGTACTTTATCTGATACTGATGATGAGGTGTCGGATGTCAGGAAGCACCCAGTATAATGTGTATCAGAGCCGTAGGCAGAGACGAATGAAATAATGAAAATCCCGTTTATTTATCTAACGGTCACACATTTTCTCACCCAACTAAAAACAGTTTTCATTGAGATCTTGCTTCGTGACCTCAATAACACAGTCGTGCTTGTTTTACGTCTCTAGTAAGATCCTATGTTGATGTTCTTTAAATATTCTTCATAGGATACTCGACCCACTTATCGCTGCGTGTGCTCCACCTAACACTCACTCTCACCTTCGTCTTGTCCTCCTTTCCTTCTTTAGTCCAAATCCCTCGAATTTAGTCCTCGCGTCTTGTGTTTAGATATATATATTTACGTTATCTCATTCCCTATTTTGCTGTCGACATTCCTCCTTTTCAATTGATTTATCAAGAATCATATGTTTCCTTAGATGTTTAAGATGCAAAACTCCTTTATGAAGCCTCTAACTGGGTGTAACTTCAATCTCAAACATTCCGAATTGTAGTAAAAATAAAACTCTGACCAAACAACAATAGGCTAACAACGTAAGTACTGTCATCGGTTGCGTAACTTTTAGTGGCGTCATCAGTTTTACATCGTCCATACTTGCCCTTGGATTTGCGGGAATATATTTTGATCTTTCCAAATTAGATGTTATTGAATACTATCTGGAGCTTATAAACTGGCAGTTATGGTTACCCCTTTCCTCTTGGTCTGTG